GGAAGAAAGATCACAGGAGAAATGCAATGCAATCAGTCATGCCAGGACATTTTCTTGATTCCTCGAAAGTGACAAACTGCAGGTATGGCTAGGATCCTACCTAGAATCTGACATCTGCCACAAGCCAATAATATAATTTGGCTTGTAGAGATGTTCTGAGCACAAGTGAGATTCGTTACTTGCTCCTACAGCAACCTATGAGATAACACAAGATTTCACTTCTTTCTCCTGATGCAAGGCACAAAGTTGAAATGCAATGCTCTTGCCAATACAGAACAGAGCTGGACTGCTCCGATTTGAGAGGGGACACATACCTGGGCTGCATGCAGTTTCTAAGTTCAAACCCTCATTCACTGAATTTCTTGCTTACCTGATCCTTACATTTAAATTGTTATAACAATTAATCTCTTCATTTTAACAGAATGCTAAATGTATCATACTGCCAGTGTCAGCTAATGCAGTTGTTTTAAGGAACGGCTTCTGAAAAGGTTTTTTTCTAAGTGCTTGATTTCCTGAGATCACATTTCAGTCATAATCCAGCTATCAAACTACTCTGTAGGCAACACCCCTGAAGAATGACTACTTGGCTTAGCAGAAAAAACACCACTTGAAAGTATTTCCTGACAGAGCAACTTCTTGTAGCTATTTATTTGCATAATACCAGTGAGGAAAATGCCTGCAAAATTTGCTAAACTTGGTTTGGAGATACAGAAGTTTATCAATACAATGTTACTGCAAAACACAGCGTCCAAATTCTACATAAAACATATGTGCAAAAACCCTTAAGAAGTCAGTATTGCATAGCTGACAGTGCAAAAATACCTCCCTCATCAATCCTTGCAAAAAGTCAAAATGTCAGGCAAGAATAAAAATCTCTATAAAATGAATAAAACTCAGGTACTGTTTTGGTTCATAAGAAAAAGAAAAATCAGCCACATTCAGGAAAGCCTTCCTCCAAATCACTAACTAGAAGAAAATCCAGTGGTGAAATTAAAATATTTTCCAATTACCAAATCTACAAAAAATGTCAACACATCAAGACAATTAAACCCACTAAAAATCATCCAGGAAGCTGCTAAGTAGATAGTCTCATATACTAGAGAACTGAGGAAAAGCAAAAGCTACTTGCACATGTCAAAATATGAAGGACTTTAAAATTGCCAAATCCTCTTAAATTTTCTTGACAGCTTGCACATACCATTTACTATTTAAGATCATCATAAAGCAGTAATGTTCATTGTTAATTCTTTCATACACAATGAATATGAAATTGCCAGTGCTCCTTACATGAATAGAAACCCACAGAAAACTTGCAGAAGCATTACTGCTATCTCAAGTGACATCAGAACAGGACAAGATTACCATTTGCTTATTTCCAAAGAGATCATGAAAAGCATCTTGTAGCCATTATATATTTACTTCATTTTACAACACAAAGCTGCGTGCGCTAGTCATTTATTTTCCTTTGCACTGTGGGTGGAACACACAGCCACATTTTATCTAATTAAATTAGATTATTTCAGTTTTCACAGCACTTGGAAAATACATGTTATGATCCAAGTGGTTACATGTTGCCATCAAGAAAATGGGGAACTTGAATATTCTTTTCTGTAATGTCTGATCAGATATGCTAACAACTTAACTCTCCACAGAAATATACGGATTGGACTGCACACACATCCTTTAAGACCAGAAACTAAGCTTCAGCTTGGAACAATGAAAATATTCATCCATTTAGCTGTTATCTTTTATTGGCATTAATTACAATCTCTCAGAAAGATTATTCTGGGCAGATCCTCAGCACAGTGCTCAGGAATACACTCTCATGAACTCTTCAGCTGTTTTATCACTGCCTTGCAGAACCTTTTCTCTTTAACCTCAATATGCAGAGGGTTTTTTGTAGTGTATCAGGACAGGACATAGCATTGGTTTAATAATTACCACTATGATTTTGATGTAAATGGTCTTTGTTGCCCCAGAAAAAGTGTTCCTAAATGCTTCTTTGAATTATCTAATGTACTGTTATCTAATTCTGTTTTACAGGGGTTTTTTTGCTTATATTCTTTTATTACTGCAGATAAGACAAACAGACAGCATTCACTGGTGGCTCATCTATGTATGTGCTCATTTCCTGAAGTCCCACTCTGAGCCCCTTCTTTTTCTTAATACCACACTACTTCCAAAGCTACATCACAAGCAAGGAAAATAATGAAGCTGAACCCTTTCAGTAAAGAATCTGTTCTTGTGACAGAGACCTACATTCATCCACACTGAAAGATTAAGAATCGATGTATGCAGCAAATAATAAAAGTAAAACATTGAAGAACAAGGAATTAAATTCCTGATGATTACCATTAGAAGGTGGAACAAATGACTTACTGGAACTGGATAGCAACAGAGTATACTTCCATAAGATTGTAGCATATTTTTTTGATTTTTATATTCAACACAAATTCTGGGAAATACCAGAATTTCTACAATTTGTGAATTCTCAAAAGACAAAATGCTTGTTCTGTCTTGCCTAACAATTACTATGAGCAACAGTAAAGCACAGACTCAGTATTAGTCTCGTTTTGCTCTTTGATGCTGTATAATGATACTATATATTCTTGAAGGGAAGTATAGAAAACACTTCAGTGACTTATCTTAAGGGAAAAGGAAAGACCAACCAGAACCACAAAGCAGAAGATAAAAGCCAACCACCAAGAAGCAAAAGAAGCCATGAGAGACAGGAAAGTAAAAGCTAAAAATGAGGCTTCTAAGCAGCATTTGTTCATCAAAACTTTGGGGGGAAAATGGTAAAACAAATGTTAAAATTTAATAAAAGCAAATACTTTTATTCTAGTGTGCCGATTGTGTTCAAGTTATTTCAGACCTGCATCTAATTAATAGTAACAAGAAATTTAATTATTAGACAAAATTAAGAGATGAAACTTCCCATTAAGGTCCTGGTATTCCTTGCTTTCACAAATAGGCTTTGACAGTTTGGTGACAGACAGAGCCAGCCAGATTAAAATAAAAATGGAGCTTTAGGTATTCTTAAGTTCTTTCTCTGGGGGATGTAAAATGCTGTAATGTCAAACAAGAACATCAAATTCCCTCAAGAGAAGTGATCATCTTTGCTCCTGTTCACACGTGGCATGCGGTAAAGAGTTCTTCAAATGACTAGAATGTATTGCACAGTAAGATCGGTAAAAGATGTCCCACACAAACTGTGGTCATCTTGCTAGATGACACATATGATGACTTGTCCCTTTACTATTCTGTATCTCAGTAAAAGATAGCAAAGAGTATCACCTCACTGAGCTACAAAAATTGTTCTAAACTTCCTTTACATTGTTACCTTTCTGCACACAAGAAGATACTTTCACTGTCTTATCTAATCTTGCAAGCATAGCCCAGCCATGTCATGCATGGAATAAGTAAAGAGAATTTTTAGAAAATATTTTTTTTCCAAATGTGAGGAACGAAAGACAAACCTATATGCAATTAATGGACTTCAGCATCTGTTTTCATATTACTGGGTGGAAAAAAAATCAGAACTGATAAATTCTTTCAGACACATATTGAATGCATTTCTTACCCTAGATTAAAAAACAGATGATATACTTGAGGATAAAACAGTACCTAAAAATGTCATTCACCTGTACCTTACCCTTTAATCTACGTGTGCTTCTTTTAATTATCCTTTGCTCGTTCCACCCAAATTGTGAATTAACACAGACCTTCAGATGATTAATAAATGCTAGTATGTCTTTTCTCTAAAAGGATTTTTGAAAAAATGTCTTACTTGGGAGGGCATTAAAATAAGGTAAAAAATAAATTTATAAACCAGACTGCATGTGCATTAGGGTCCAAACAGTCTCTAAATGAAAAATGTTTAAAACTGAATCACCACAAGATGCATGTATATGAAACTTTCAACCAATACTGAGGTCCTCTATGTCCATCAATTCTTTGACAAAAATGATAGGGAGAGCATAGAATTAGTCAGGGAAAAGCAGAACTTTGTAGGAACGGAACCTAAATTAATAGCACGGGCCACCATCCACCCCACTGATCAACATGAAGGTGCTACAATAAGTGACATGCAATTAACCAGCTACACAATAAGAAGGCAGTACAACAAATCACAGCCAGTTTCCAACAGTCAGCAACAAACTCACCTGAAGGCACTGGTACCATTAGTAAGGCAACTGATACAGTTATACCCTGAATCAATGTATTAAAAGCAAGTTTTTTAGTAGGGGATGACAACTGGAACACATTAACATCAACAATATTAATCGGGGCCTTGACCTGTTATGTACTGTTCATCCATAATATAAAATTTTAAAACAAATGTCTTTCTTAAATGGATGATGCAGTAGCATATTAGAGCATTCTAAACATTTCTCAATCTTTTTATAATATATATTAAGCATACAATTGACCAAAAAGAGTGGAACAAACCATTTGAAAATATTCAGCTCTGCCAGCAAAACTTTTTTATCTACACCAGTAGATAAAGAAAAACCTGAAAAAAAATCATCCTGCTTCCCTGTTAAATGCCAAGAATAAGAGCTAACTTTGTATGTAGGAGATTTAAAAAAAAAAAAAAAAAAAAAAAAAAATCATTCTTTTTGCCATTGGTAAGTTTTTTAGTAGCAAATATATTTCACAATAATATTATATACTAATTTTGCATTTCTGTAATGAGTTTTCAGCATTTTTTGGAAGCAACAGGTTAGCACATGAAATAAAAAGCCTAATTCCCTTTGAACAAAGACAGTCTTATAAAGCATAACAACCCTTATAGGCACAAATGTATCAACTGTGACAGGAAATTTACATTGTTACACAGCCCATATGAGGCTTTCCGTAAGAGACCAGGCTTCATACAAATAAGACTCTGTTATCATACAGCGCTCCTCTAGATGTTTTCAAAACTTTGGCACATTCAAAAAATGCAGAGAGAGAGAGAGAGATGGACTCAAAAAAATATAAGCAAAGGGCATTACAGAACAATGAGAAACCAGAACAAAAACCTTTCCTGAACTGTAAAATAATAGCAGTAACAAGGGAGAAAGAGAAAGGATGCTGGTTGATTTTCCTTGAATGTTGTCACTTGCAACAGAAGTGGCCTGGGTCACAGGGCAGTTTTCTTTCTAAGGGCAAGGCTTCTCTACCTTGCTGTTGCTGGCTGGACATGACCAGGGTAAGATCTCCTTGTGCTCGTGGCTTGCCTTTGTCTAGCCAGGAAGGACTGTCCTGAGCCTGTACTAGCCAGTCTATCTTCTGCTGCTTTTTTATGCAGAGTCATCCCCTATGGACAAAGAGAAACTTCTCAGTGAATACCAACATGTAACAGTGAACAAATGTACTCATTTACATTTCGTTTATTATCTCCTTCTTCACCAACACTGACTAAGCTATTTTGAATTTCAAACAAGAAGCATCACGTTTTCAAGGATAAAGCTAAGACATTCTTCCTAACTCTTTGTGAGTTGTTCTTCCCCCCACCCCCATCATTGTCTGGGTTTGGAGTAACTGTTGAGAACAGGTCCCCCAGTGTCCCAGATCTGAACATATGCTTCTCCACATAAACACATGGTAACTGGACAAGTCTTTTCAAAAGTACTTTCCTTCCCCACCCTGGCCCCCTTTAGCCTGTTGAGCTAGAAGAGTACTTCAGAAAATAATTGAATTATTATTGTCCTCTGTGAAAACACCAGCTCATATGGCAGGGGGACATCTTTAGAGAAAGGATGTTTTCAGCAGGGGTAAAAGCAAGGAGGAAATGAGGGAAGCTGTGATGGGTTGTGTAGTTGTGTATAAAAGCAGAGGCTAATTAGAGAAAGACACAGACAAAGCTATCAGTGCTCATCCTAGTGTTCATGACATGCTATTGAACCACAGCTCTTAGTTCAGGCTTGTCTTCTGCTGGTCGGTGGGACTGATGTTACAAAATTGGTCAAGGACACCAGTCACTTGAAAATGCCTTCAATATTTAAAGGATTCAAACACTCTGCTTAAGTGCCATTTTTGGCTTACTATTCATGGACATAACAAGAACGCAGAACAGCAAGAAGGAAACTCTTCCAAGGGAAGGAAGACAGAGAGGAGGAATTTGAACTCTATGATGAAGCAGAATGAAACATGAACGTTACACAGGTCAAGGATTCTTTCTATTCGAAGAGCAGTTTCAATGCAGCCACACTCTGCCAAAGAGAAGTCTTGAACACACTTGATGAAGGTGAAAAACCTCCCAGCAAACGGGCCCAGCAAAAGCTGTACGGCTGCACAGATCACTTCCTTATGGTCTGAATAATTTAAGTGAGGGTCTTACCCCTGTGCTCACCCTTTGCATGGGGCTAAACTTGCACCCAAGTTAAAGGGGTCGTTTCTCAGAGAACTTACTGCAGCAAGTAAGCTGTATTGCTTTTCTTGTGCCCCTTCATTAGAAACAACTGGAAGATTTGACAGTGGAGAATCAAAGAAGAAAGAACACTAAGTCAGTATAACTGAAGGGCTGGAATTACAAGATAGTAATCTGAGGTATTGTTCCCTCTTTTCTGGTTTTGAAACTTGAAAATAAAAACCACATTTTTTTCCATTTACCTCAAGGTTATCATAGGAACATGCTCTTATATACTGATAGCTTAAAATTATTAAAAAGCATTTTTTTGTGTCTGTGTGTTGGAAAATGCTTTTTAAGCAAAAAAACTGCAAATGAATGAATACTGTTATAAACAACCCAGAAACAACTAAGAGTTTCTTTCCTTTTTTTTTTTTTTAATAAAAAGTTTGGGAGATTCTTACCATATTGTACCAGGCACTAACAATAAATTTCTCCTCCATTTCTCTTTGACTTTTTGTTTTTTCATATTCTTTCTATAAGACAAACACCAAAAAAGCATAAATTTAAAACCAAAGTATAATAAAAATATTAGTCTATACCTAAAAAACAATGAGGAAATTTGCATCTACCAGGAAACATGAGGATTATTACCTCCAATGAATGAAACATTCTGTCCCGCTCCTGCAACTGATTTTTCAGAGCCTGAATCTCAGGGGCTGCACCCTGGTTCTGCTTAGGATCTAAGGTGCGGATGACCTGTAAGAGAACACCAGTTTGTTTTTAATTAAATCCTGCAAAACCGATCTAATTGAAGGGAAAGACATCAAGCAATTACAATCTTTTAAATCAAGTTAAGACATAAAAAAAGTGACTTAAGACATGTCAGTGGTAAGAAATGACACTCCAAAATGTGAAACAGAGGGATGTGCAGTTTTAAGAGGCTGACTCCTGTAAAACAATCTTGACACCTAGCGTGACAGAGGCTCTGCCTTTTAACATCAGCCATGATACATTAGAGCATCTGAACTGGGCTCCCTTTTACAGGACTGTGAAACAAAACTACCAATAGGAAAAAGTGACACCTAAGAGGTTCAGTATCCCAGATTCACATATGCAGTTCCTACCCCCAGCTGCTCTATCTTGGGGCCACAGTGGTAGAAACATTTTGTCAAAAGTTTCTCTCTTTATAGCTAAGGTTTACCTACCTGTCAATTCCTCCTGCTTAAGGACCACTTTGGTCCTTATGGAAAGATGACATGATTCACCTAGCTGGGGCAGCAGGTGCTGTCATTTCCAGATAGCTCTGTTAAGCCAAGCAGTATTCTGTGGCACGTGCATGATCATTATGTTACTAATAAGATGAAGGGACACCGGGTTATGTATGTGGCATCCATCACAGGTAGCATGAGTGCTAGCAAACACAGAGCTAAACCAAGAACAAATCTAGCAAAACGTCTAGATTCCTAAGCCTTTAACAGAAAATAGCTTAAAACTTTTTACAACCTCTGGATATACAGAAAGAGACTTCACATATTTTGTCTTTCTACTTATTTCAGAATCGTGTCCAGATGCTGAAATAAAACAATACTTCAAATTTTAGTCAGTCATTTTTACTGAATGGCACTCATGAAGGAAGATTCATAAAAGTGTACTATGTTTCTAAGAAAATACACATTATACCTGGATACAGTTTCTATAGTGGAAGGCTATGATGATTGTACTTGTCCTCACAAAAAAAAAAATTACCCAAAGTTGATCAGAAGATCACAAAAAGCTAACCTAACTAAAATAATTAATGCTACTGTCGTATAAAACACCCTATGGCAACACAGTACATACAAATAAACAAATCTTATTGAAAAGGGAAGTTGTGACTCTGTCTTTCACTGGAATACTCTTGAGACACAGTCAGCAACATAAGATAAAGAAAAATCAAAAATTATTTGTTTAGATTTCCTGAGGACTTTTGAAAAGTCTCACAAGAAGTCATTGAGGAAACTAAACAGAAGAAAGGAAGAATAAAGTTTTGCCAAATTAGGAACCTACTTACAGATTCCAATTTAATGATACACAGCCATAGCAAAGATCTTGACATTACCATGATCAGATGAACAAAGACACTGGTATGCTTCTGAGAAACTCAAAAAAAAATATCAAGGTATAGTAAGGGAAGAAACGGGACTATGATTGAGACCACAACATTGCCATTTCAAAGCTGGTAGTACACCCACATCCCCAATACCATACTTAAGTATTAGCCACCTTCTCGACAGAAGCATATATTAATCAGTAAAGATTTAAGAATGCTGACTGTTATCAGAGAAACGTACAGCTGTCAAAGGTGCTTCAGTTAAAAAGATCACTTTACTTGCAAAAAGCATCAATGAAAGAGTCCATATTAAAACAGTTTCTAAACCAGTTAGCTAAATAAGTACATGAATAGAAATCAGGGGCAAAAGTTGAACAAAAAGCAAAATCAAATTTAAATTAGTAAAGATGGCACTGGCACATGTGCAATTACCTCTGCCTGTAAATTCTGAGCCCCTCAAAAACAATAAGCAATTTATGTGAGCAATTAGGACCTGATGAAATCTGAAGTAGCTAAAAGCTGTATTTATAAAAACATGTATCAAGTTATCTGCTCCAGGTAAAACAGACATTACTGACTGAGCACCGCAAGAAGCCTACACCACCCAGAAACACACATAAACAGATCCAGCCACCTGTGAGGGGAAAAAACCCCAAACATCCTTTTCCCTCTCTGCAAAACTGACAAAACAAGAGTTTGTTGGTCCAACTGTGCCGGTACTTGGTGTTACCAAGCTATATCTGTGTGTACAAAGAGGTATAACTCTTTATGCCAACTGTGCCATAAGTCCCCAAAAGTCCCAGCACAAATGCCAATTAAAGAGTACTTTTGCTCAGAGCTTCCTTCCCTTGAGTTGTTTAAATGGTTGGTTCTTCAATTCTAAAATGCAGCAGTTATTTTGGTTATTTCTATACCACTAGTCCTAGTATGGACACCACTTTAGCTGATCTACACATTTGTCACTCAGAGACAGAAGTCTGGAAGAATTTCTGCAAAGAAATAGGTTATCACAGCATTAGAAAGGGTTTAACACCCTCTCCTTGTCATCAGCTGACATGAAAGCATGCTTAACAAGGTTTGTTTGGGTGACTCTCAGAAATCTGTAGCAGTGGTTATACATTTGTACAGAGGCATCAGAAGGGCTTATGGATAGGTAATAAAAGGGGACAGTCAGGAACACAAAAACAGGGTAAAATCTTCTGCAGAATTAATCAGTATTAGGTACCAAAACAGTAAGAAGACACAAAGAACTCACTGGGCCTTCCTTCCCTTTTACTTGCTAGTGTGTATACAGATACCTTCTTTATTTTTATTCCTGCAGAGAGGACATATAGTGCCGTCTGTCAGAGAGGGATCATTAACATGGAACACATATACTTACACTTTTGGCCTTTTCTAAATACTTTTTGTATCGCTCTTCCATTTGCTTCATTTCCTCCTCCTTTTTCCGTAAAGCTTCTTGTAATTCTTCAATTTTGAGTGCTTCATATCAGGAGATGCACACATTGGAAAATAACATAATTATATTATGTTTATTTTCATGTTTTTCAATAGACATTTAAGGCACAGCTAGAATTTATTTCAGTTAAGAAAAGCTAACGTAAGGAACCTGATGTAGCAGATACCACAGTTTTAATTACTGAACAGCTCAGAAACACATTAAAAATGTGTACTCCTATATAATCTCATGAGATGGTTGTTTTCTACACAAATTTTGCTTTTTTTTAAATTATGCAAAAATAAAGAGAAATGGAATCATAAATCAATCCCATTACTGAACACACTTAGAAAATGAGTTTACTAATGAATTACAGATTCTATAATATGTTGGTATCGTATCTCAAATAAATATGAGTTTTCCTATTTTATGTTAGAAGAATAATTCTTAACCAGCACAACTCTTGCTTAAATCTGCTAAAGTGTAACACTGGACGCAATTTATCAGACTTGTGATATGAATATACTCAATTTCATTTTTCCCCCACATTTTCTTAAGAAGCAATGCAGATCAGTAGGACAATTTCATTGCACAGCCTTTTTCTGTGTTGATATAAGAATATGTCAAGCCACTATTGCTTATACTACTTCTATAAATCTTCTCAAATCTCAGAAAAAAAAGATCAACTGGATCAAATAGCATAACATTGACGTCTGGTTCTCAGACAACGTTAGACAATGGGCAACCCTCAGTCCATCTGTTTTGCCAGCCTCAACTTGAAATTTTCTTTCATGTTTTTCCTACAGTTTTCTCTCTAAGCACTTGGAAAACACTAAGCTGGTAACAGGACCAAGTAAGATTTTCATTGACCAGTAAGACCACCAACAGCAGATGGTCTCCAAGGTTGGAAGAATCCATTTTTCAAAATGTGCCATTATTCTTGTACAACGTCCAAGCATTTTGGCCATATCGAGGATAGTTAAAAGAATCTGAAAAAATAATTCACACACACTTCCTGAGCGTGGAAAGAAAGGAAGAAGGTACAACTATTTTTATTTCACCAAGACAAAAGTTCAGACCTAGATTTTTAAAAAGCAACTTGTAATTTCAGTAAATTAACTGTAGAAACCTCAATATGCCCTAATGTTTAGAAGCTAGTGAGTCAGAAGACTGTCACACTTGCACTGCAGCTTATCGAGTACAAACGGATTATGTGTTTATTAGCTACTCATTAAGTCCCTGGACCTCATTTCCAAGTGTTCTGACATTTTCTAAGATGTGGAATTTATAACATATTCTGCAGTTTTAACTCAACATAAATGAAAACTCTTTTTGGATACAGGATGTACGTAATGAATAGTGAACTGATATTTCTATCTTCTTTGATCTCTTTATGAACAAAATCACTTTAGCACAAACCAGAAAAGCTGCCATTGGCTACAATCTTTTGCCTTGTTCTATAATAAGTAGGCTTGAAAAAACCCCAGTGTAACTCCTTCAATACTTCCTAGGAAAAAAGCAGCATCAATGTGCTAAAAAACAGCTGGATGCTGGGTTCTGGATACCATCTGAGCAATATGATATATATCCTACATTCTCTTTGACCAGCGTTCGAAGATTTTCTCGAATTATTTAACAGTTCTGAAAACACACTGAAGGAATATATATTGGGAGTAAAAATAACCTGGTAATGGCAGAAAGGATCTGCTAAACTAGCATCTTAGGAGACATGACAGTTCTGAACAGCTGAGGTTCAATGACAGATATGACAGTGACTTGGTATTTCTATGGCCATTGTCATTTCTTACTATGGCAACCTCTAAAATGTGACCCCCTGCATTTCAAGTGTTAGAAACATCATAGCTTCCAGAGAAATTAACAACATACATACCACTGACATTTAAAATGTACATTTGGTTTATCTTGCACCTCCTATAGGTATTGTAATTAAAGACCTTGCAGATTAAATACTTAACAAAGAAAAGAAACGGACTGCACAGGTAACTCACAACTGTTATTGCATCTTGGTTCCAAATCCTCAATAATAGCTCGTTTCTTCTGTAGCTCATTGTTAGCTTCATGGAGCTTCTCACTGTTACAAACCATAAAAGCACATATTGTTTTCCCATTATTACTGTGGTTGAATGAACATTAAGCTATACAAAAAATACTCAGATAGTAATATATTTCCGAGACCATGATTAATTTTTGCTGTGGGGCATAAGGGCAAATGAAAATGTCACCATGGAAGTATTTGTTAAATAAGCTGAAACACATTACGGTGCATGGAGAACTGTAACAACAAACAGCTTCATTCTCAGTAATTATAAACTTAATTTAGAACTTATAGTTAGTTGTACAATGCATGCCTAAAATGAATACTCATAATTGAGATTACATCGAGAAAAAACGGCTAAACCCAAAGGCAACAGAAGCTCCTTTTTTTTTTTTTTTTTGCAAGCCAGTCAAAAAGCAAAGAGCTCTTTGCATTTTAGGGAAGTAAAAGAGGTGCAGAAATAGCAGAACAAAATGATAACACTTCCTAAAATGTTACCTTTTATGCCATAATGTATACTAAAAAGTAAACAAATTAATTTTGTTTACATTAACATACTTTCCTCAGAACAAAATTACTTACTCCTCTTGAGTAAAGACTTACACAATGTTAAGCAAAGTTTTCTAACCACCACAAAATGATGGTTCCTTCATCGCTCTTATTGCTTTCGCAAAGGTTTTCAATGAGATGAAAGCAGTATCTGAACAGCAGATTCCCAAGCATTCCTGTATTATCTAATTTCTCTTAGTTGTATATTTTCCAGATGCATGATTAATGACTGTCTGCCTTCCTTACCATATGGAAAACACATCATTTCAAATGGCAAACCAAATAGGCAAACAAAATACTTACAGATGTTCTTCAAGTTTCTTTTTCAGAAGAATTGACTAAAACAAAAAGTTAAATGTTTTATTTTAATATATTGCAGAGCTTTAACATAATTTCAAAATTATTTTAAAACATGTAATTTTGACATTCTAGCCAAAATCCAACTTTTTACTTCACTCAGTTTTAGATCACAACTGTAAAGCCATCCTCTGTGGTAGCAATCCTTCTCTCCACAGCTGTGTGACTTTCCTGAAATCAGAGTGCTTTGTAACTTTACAAATATTTTCCCAGGAACTAGATCAATAAAAGCAAGATCCATAAACAACAAAACTCTAGGGCAGTTGTTTTAACTTCTCCAGTACTTTTGTAACTAGACTTAATATATTAACCTGAAATTAGTAAGTGCAGCAAAATATGCTAGAAGAGCTGTCCTACCAATATTGCAATGCAATTTGCATGAAGACATGTAGCAAATTAGTTGAAGTAAATTCCTGTCCCCACAGAAACTAGAGGGAGTAGATTGTTTCTGACTGAAGTATAGAAGAAATGTTATCCTTTTTCTGTTTCTTATCTTTATTGATTACAGGGACATAAAAATTATCATACAACTTACAGTGTTCCACTTTCTGGTTAAACCACATTTAGATAAGCTCTTTGAATAGAAGCTTCAAAGTGAATAATTTTAAACTCACTTCATACACAGTGAGTATCTTTAAAAAAAAAAAATCAACCCAATAAATGTCTATAAACTGAAAGTAGTGTTAAGTAAATAGAAAGCCATACTCACAATAGCCTTGAGCAGAAGCCCATGCCAAGAAACAGAGATGACATTAGTACAAAGCAAAACAGCAGCCAACAGAAGAAACTATTTAGAAAGTCATGAACAGAAAAAGTTAAAGCTATGCATTTTTTCACGCATGTGCATTTTTCTCCTCTGTTCTCATCAGCAGTTTCATCCTGTAACAGTTTCTAAAACATATCACTAAAAACAAAAATATAAGAATAGTAAAGAAGCACATTTGTAAATCATTGTGTTCAAACCAGAATTTCAAAGGGGAGCAACTGCTATTTTGGAAAGTCATTTTAAAGCAAATCATACAAGTAACAGAACAGGAGAAAATACGCAGTCTGTTGGGTTACAACCAAAATTAAGAGATGCATGTGTTTTTGTGGAGTGATTCTGAATTGTGTTATTGCCATACTGATTGAATACAAGGCAAATGTAGAATATTTAAATCAGAAACTGCCTTTTTGGTTTGTATTTATCCAGTACCAATCACATTGGAGGTCTGGCATGCGACTGGTGGTCCAGAACGCCATCAAAATCTAAGATAAAATCATCAACAAAATTAAATTAATTGCTTTTTCTCCAGTGGTCTTTCAACAAAGGTCTAGACACCTGGCCAACAGAGACAATTACCGTGTGCACCCAAAAAAGCTTTTAGTTTTGTTATCATGTAAATACTTCAAAATACTGTCTTTGATCGCATTCCTGGGTCACACTTTTTCATTATTTCAATGTTGGATTTCCTTATCGTACTATTGAGAGAGCATGTGAAAACAAGTGAGCATTATTCTACTGACTTCAGAATCAGGAATTTGTAGCAGCTAAGGATCTACAGGTTTTGACCATTTGGCTTTTTTCTTTTCCTCTGAACAACTGCAGCAACACCACCTTTTCTGTAGCAATAAATGTTTGTATGCATCTTTCTTAGTCACAAAGCATTTGAACTGGCACCATCACTTCCATTTGATCATTTAGGGGACTATTGGTTGGTTTGGACAAGAAAGGGAAAAGTTGGTAGCAGTGCCCATTTTCCTAAGGTAAGAAAATAAAAACTGAACTCAACTTTTCTTTTGCAATCCTTGTATTACACTTGGGTTTAGCTTGGAACAGACACAACTACTTGTCAACACTGATTCCACTGGTATATTTTCATATATATTATTTGCATAGTACCAGCATTGTTGTGGGAGTAACCCCTCTCCCATCTAGACAGATCATATGTTCTCACAAGCAAGAAACTAACAATGATAAACAGCACGCACAATTAAAAGAAGCAGGACTGCGTTTAACCAGAGTAATTTACCCAAGACACGAGATTAGAAAAAAGAATAAAACGTAAAATGTGCGACTTTAGCCACCCAAAGATCCTGTATATACTTGTAGCAAGGCAGATAAATACAAATAAATTACTCTAAAAATGAGCAAACATTACTTTTTTTTTTTGCAGTCTCGGTCAGCTTCAAAGCCACATATCCAAATCCTCTGCTCCTAACAAGCAATTACTATACCAGTTGTTCTCTCATAGGAAGACAAGTCTCTTAGAAAAAAAAATCCCAATTAAAAAAAAAGCTCAAAAAAATCTAGTTTTGAGCTTGTTTTACATTTAACTTAATTCAAATGTTTTGTCTGTTTGTAATAGAAGAACATTTCCATAACAAAGCTGTAAAAATCAGCAAATTTCACTCGCTGTTTTGCTTTTTCCTCCCACTGCTAACAAGTTCCACTTACAAAACACCAGAAAAACACACACTTATTATGGTGTGGTTTTAGAAAACAGGTATCATCCCCAGTATTTAATTGCTATCTTTCTTTTACATCAAAAAAACTACTGAAATAAAGCCTTTTTGCTGGAAATTTCTTTCATGCTTAAATGAGCCAAAGGAACAGGTCTGTCCCCTTTCTGAGGACAAAGTTTGGTCTTGTTCTGCATGTTAAGGCCACAGGCAGATGGCTAGGCTCTGGCTTGAGGTTAAGCTAACTTAGCAGGGTAATGGAAGCTATGGCACATGACTTGAGAAAATTGCTTGATGAGACTGCTAATGCTGTGAGAAGATGGCAAGTTATAAACAGCACCATGAAGGATGGTCAGATTTCACAGATGCTAAGAGTAATCATAGAATGCTTTGGGTTGGAAAGGACCTTTAAAGGTCATCTAGTCTGATCCCTCCTGCAATGAGCAGGGACTTCTTTTAACTAGAGCAGGTTGCTCAGAGCCCCATCCAACCTGACCTTGAATGTTTCCAGGGATGGGTCATCACCACCTCTCTGGGCAACCTGTTCCAGTGTTTCACCAAATAAGCGAAGTGGCTGAACTTCACAGGTAACCAAACATCTAACAGAGTTTTGGGGACCTTTTAGGAGGTGACAAGTCAGGAGGACTTAGTAACTGTGCCAGTAACAGCATATAAGGCCAAGACTGCATATGTAACAGTATGAGAAACACCAGATGTGGTATGGATTTAGCAAGACCAGGTCCAGTGGGGTAGAAGTAACTAAAGGCAGGTTGTTTATATAGGAAGGGATTAGGGCAGAGAAAGTGAGAACGAGGGTGATGAAAGAGAGTGACAATAAGGCATGCAAATGATGTAGTCGAAGCTGTTCACAGTACCTGTCGAGCAGCCCTACACATGACCACTGCATTCTGGAGGACAATAAATCAAACCTGCTATTCTGACCACACCAGACATGTCTGAGTCAATTCTGGAGTCTGGAAGTCTGGGGTAAGGAGGCCTTTCCCTGGCTAGCAAGGCAACAGCCAGGATGGACTAACGATGCAATCCAACAGGATGTGTCAGTGCCCATTACAGGCCTAGTAGCTCCGATACCTTCCTAACATCCACCTTCCACTGTACTTCAATACAAAATCAAAACTGCTTCCCCATGTGGACCTTGGCAAGCAGCATGTATCATTGCAGTGATAACTTCCCTGGGCTAGGATACTGCTTTTACTATTTTTTCAGCAAGCCTAAAAACTACTTCAACTTTGAAAAGGAACAAAACTTAAAAAAAAGCCCCAACCAAATAAAATACCCAAGCCCTCATCATACATTTCTGGACTGAATACAAACAGGATCTTTAGTTTTCTGGGTTGAGCATTTTTACAGTATAAGAATACAAAAATACAGATTTCAGTGCATTGTTGCAGAAAAGTAGGGAAAAACAGAGGAAACATGCTGAAAATGATGCATCAATGAACTGTATGCCATGCCTCTCCTTATCCTTTTTCTCATGCTTCTGAAGAATCATTCTTTTTGTAAAAAGTTATTTTCAGTACCTTTCAGTACCTTCAGGATAACTCAGGTGGCCCCAGCACAACTTCCATCTACTTGAACAGCTGGGTTTAACTTTGAGGTTTGCTCTGCTTTGTGTGGGAGATAGGGTGAGGTGTCCATACATTCAGAGGTTCTTGCAGCCTCAGTACTTCTCTGAGTCTACACTCTCTCTTTTGTTTCTTTAAGAGTAAATGAAATCCTACACACCAAACTCAGCAAAACAGGCCTTGGGGTTAGCGCCTATAAAGCACCACTGGCATGGTCAGACCTACACAGAAGCCAGGAATGCAGCGACTGCACCACAAACTTGTCAAATCAGAGCTGGCAAGGGCTGCCTGGTACACACAGCAGGCTGTACTGTGGTGTTGTGATGGTAGTGTTTTGCTGTTAACAGAATCATCTCAGATGATGACTACATAGGCTGCAGTCAGTCCTGTGAGCTGCAGATGTCCTAAATTATTGTCCAAACCAGAGCCTCAAAAAGGGACACAACTGCAGTAAATAAAAGCTGAATTCAATTAGACAGGGATCATTTACAATACTCAGTATATGAGAATATTTTTTTCCTATTCTTGTTCACCCTGAAAAATCTGATTTTGGCCAATAACCAAGACAACAAAGAATGTATCACAATCACATAACAGTATGGACCTATTTTAAAATGCATTCTAAAACACATTCTAAGTTACTTAGTAAAATAATCTCAGTTGAACTCATCTAAGTGTTTTACTTTCATACAGTTTATTCTGAAAATTAGAAGGATAAGCTAAATTAAACACACTCTTAAATGAAAATAAACAGCTACTAAAAACTTTCACTGTCCTATATAAATTAGTTAAAACCACAAAAATAGAAAGCAACACATTACAACTTGTTGCCAATTAGCAACACAATACACTGAGATTGTGAGCATACACTGTGCATGTACAGTCCAACAAATCACTGCTCTCACGGAAGTTCTAGAGCTTCTTCTCTCAAATACAGGAGAGGGCAAACACAATTTTTGAGTGGAAGACTGAAAGTTGTTTTCCACACTAACTCTGCCACAATGTGTATTCTTACATAAAAAATAAGTTAACTCCATATAAAGAAACAGAAAATGCTGCATTATGTTCAGGGGCTAATTATTTGACTTCTTTTTTTTTAGTTTTGGCCTGTCAGGTTTCTTGCATTATGAGACACATTTACATCCACAATTACAGAACTTCCACTGGCAGGAAAGGCCTTAACTTTCATTAAGAAAACTAAACAAAAAATAACTTCGGATACTTACTATTAAGACATGGAGATTTAACATTTCCTTAATTCCCTGCAAAACTCTCTATTCTAATTAAATAATTTTAACAGTAAGTTTACTTTTGGAACAGACACAATTAATCAAATAAAACATATTTGATACCTTCTCTACATACGATGGTTTTCTGTTCTAGGCAAATGTCTTACAATGTCTTACATCCTATTCAGAGAAGCACAATTTAGTGATAAGACCGTATGAATAAATACAGAAACTATCAGAAATCTCCATTTGCATTTCTTTTACTTTTTCTTTTTTTACAAAAAGTGAAAGTTTCGAAAATGGTAAATACTTGAATGTAAGTTTGATGTACATTTCTACTTACATCTTCAGCTTTTGAACCTTGATCCTGCAAAGACTTTTGTAGTTCTTCAACCTGGGACTGCACTTCTAGAAGTCTCTGATTTACCAATCTAGGAAAGAGATAATATTTTGTTCCTCAGAAAAAAACAAACAACTGAAAGAGGAAGCCTGAGATTTTTAGTGTCCACTGTTTTCAGGTCATCTACACAAGAGATGCCAATACTGTATTTTATTCACAGAAAATTTACAACAGTAGTTAGAGCATACAGCAGTTCCAGAGATTATAGCCTGTAGTCATCCAGAACATTCTGATACTCTTCCAAGACAACATAAATGCATGTATTAAGAAATCATTTCTATACACATGAAACAGGAGTTTATAACAGTCAGTTTTACTTGTGTGAGAGCTACAGGCTTACTGCTTTTACACAGTCACAGAACCCTATAAACCTGTAGGTTGGAAAGGATCTCCAGAGGTTGCCTAAATCCAACCTCCTCCTTAAAGCAGGTGTACTTACAGCAAATTGCTGGGAACCACACCCAGTCCAGGTTTGGACACCTTTAAGGATGAAGGTCTGACAATCTCTTTGGGCCACTCTTCTAGAGCTCAGACCCATAGTCAATGTTATGTCTGTACCTCTTGCCCTTCCTGTCAACCTCTGAGACAGAGCTGGCTCTGTCTTGTTGAACACTTTCCCATCAGGTAGATGTAGATCACAGTATTATCTCCTCTATGCCACCTTTTCTTTGGCGTGAACAAACCCAGTTCTCAGTCTTATCCCACCTATCACGTTCCAGTGTCCTTCATCTTAGCAGTATTCTGCTGCACACCTGTACATCCACGTCCTTCTTGTACTGGGGAATCCAAAACTATATGCTATGTCCACATGTTGTCTCATAACTACTGATAAGAGGTGAAGGATCATTTTCCCAGACAGCCCAGGTCACAGTCAGCTCCAGGGTCCCCAGCTGACACACTCCCCTTTGCTGCCCACTGGGACCCCAGGGCTTTTGCAGCAGAGCTGCTCCCCAGCCTACTGGTCCCAGCCAGCATTGCCAGGCTCCCCACAGCTAGGGACAGGGCTCCCTTCAGCTCATTCCTTGGGACTGCTGAGCTCCTCCAAATAACAGCTCTCCCTTTCAGCATATCAATCGCTCCTCCCAACACAGTACCATCCTCAAAATTCCTGAGAGTATAGTCCCTCCTATCAGTCAAGTTGTTAATAAAGGTGATGAACAGTATTGGTCCTGGTATTGATGCTTGAGGAACTGGTTGCCTGTTAGATTTTATACCACTGATAATGCTTTAGGCCCAGCTGTTCAACCAATTTTCCACTCGCTTTACTGTCCACTTATTCAGTCTATATCTAAACATTCTGAAAATAAGTATACTACAGAAGACTGTGCCAAAGGCTTTGGCTAAAGCTAAAGTAAGTACCGTCCACTGTTTCACTCTTCACATAGGCAGTCATCTCATTGTCAAGACTATTAGTTAGGATTAGTAAGGTATGATTTGCCCTGAATAAATTCATGTTGGCCTTTCCCAATTACTTTCTTGTCCCTTATGTGGCTGGAAACAGATTCCACACAGACTCGCCTCATGACATTCCCAGAAAACGAGCTGTGGCTGACTAGTTTATGTAGTTCTCCAGACTTTCTTGCCCATCTTGATGGTGAGTGCAGTATTTGCCTTTTTCCAGGCTTCAGTAACCTTCCCCCATCAAAGGGGACGATTAGATAGAGAGCAGATTCAAAGCTTAAGAGAGCAGCCTCACAACAATATCAGCCAGCTACCTTAGCATGGTCAGATGCACGCTGTCTGGTCCCATGGACATGTGTATGTGGATTGGCTTAGTCTAGCAGGGTCAGCTAGAGCAGGCTGCCCAGGAACATGGCCTAATGGTTTTTAAATACCTCCAAGGATGGAGACAACTGCTCTGGGCAACCTATTCCAGTGTTCAGCAAACCTCCCAGTACAAAAAAAAAAAAAAAAAAAGTATGTTCTTACATTTAGATGAAGTTTAATGTGTTTTAATTTCTGCGCACTGCTTCCTGCCCTGTTACTGGGCATCAATGAGAAGAGTCTACCTCCATCTCCTTTAGACCCTCCCATCAGATATTTATAAACATCAGTAAGATCCACCCTGAGCCTTCTCTTTTCCAGGCTACGTAGTCTCTATCCCTCTGACTCTCCTTATATGAAAGATGCTGCAGTCCTGTAATCATGTCCTTGTGGCCTTTCACTGGACTGAATCCAGTAAGTCCATGTCTTTTTGTACTGGGGAGGCCTGTGGACACAGTACAGTCAAAAGTATATGCTGTTATTAGAAAAGCCAGTTGGAACAGAGGACAAAATTTCTTACCTGTTTTCTGTCTCCAACTCATTCTTCCGTAAGTTTGCATCATCAAGAAGGCTCTGCAACAAGGCGATCTTTTCATTGTCAGAACCTTCTTGGTTCAACTTTAACATCTTGTTCTCATGCTGAAGGCGAATGAGTTTCTCCCTAAGCACATAAAATACAATTTTGTAGAAAAAAGTATGCCAATCTCTATAACAAATAAAACAGTTTACCACAGGAGGTGTAAATATAACATAAAGATCATCTTTACCTATTTAAAGGAGACAGCTGAAACAACAATCATGTCTTCAAACCCCCAAACACAAACTTGATTAAAGGAGTTGTAATTGTAGAAAGCACAACACAAGGAAGTTGCCCGAGTGCCCCTATGATATCTCAGAATGCAAAGCTTGGTGCCAAGTGTTAAGGGAGGTTGTAACCTCAGCTGTCACTCAACTACTGCATGAACCTGGGCAGGTCACTTCTGCCCTGTTGGTCTGTTTTCATAGAATCATAGAATCATTTGGGTTGGAAAAGACCCTTAAGATCATCGAGTCCAACCATAAACCTAACACTACCAAGTCCATGACTAAGCCTTGTCCTACACGCCACATTTACTCATTTTTTAAATACCTCCAAGGATGGTGATTCAACCACTTCCCCAGGCAGCCTGTTCCAATGCTTGACAACCCTTTGCATGAAGAAATTTTTCCTAATAACCAATCTAAACCTCACCTGGCAGAACTTGAGGCTGCTTCCTCTTGTCCTATCACTTGCTACTTGGGAAAAGAGACCGACACCCACCTCACTACAACCTCCTTTCAGGTAGTTGTAGAGACCAATAAGGCCTCCCCTCAGCCTCCTTTTCTTCAGACTAAACAATCCCAGTTCCTTCAGCTGCTCCTCACAGGATTTTTTCCCTAGACCCTTCACCAGCTTCACTGCTCTTCTTTTGACATGTTCCAGCACCTCAATGTCTTTCTTGTAGCAAGGGGCCCAAAACTGAACACAGTAGAGTCAAGATGCGGCCTCACCAGTGCCGAGTACAGGGGGATAATCACTTCTGTGCTCCTGTTGGCCACACTATTTCTGATACAAGCCAGGATGCTGTTGGCCTTCTTGGCCACCTGGGCACACTGCTGGCTCATGTTCAGCCAGCTGTTGACCAACACAGGTCAACAGGTCCTTTTCGGCCAGGCAGCTCTCCAGCCACTCTTCCCCAAGCCTGTAGCATTGCATGTGGTTGTTTTGACCCAAGTGAAGGACCCAGCACTTATCCTTGTTGAACCTCATACAGTTGGCCTCACCCCATCTCAGCCCGTGGATCCAGCCTGTCCAGATCCCTCTGCAGAGCCTTCCTACACTCAGGCAGATCAACACTTCCACCCAACTTGGTGTCGTCTGCAAATTTACTGAGGGTGCACTCAATCCCCTTGTCCAGATCGTTGATAAAGATATGTGGGCATGGTGGTGTTGGGTTGATGGTTGGACTGATGATCTTAGTTCCTTTTCAACCTTAATGATTCCTAGTTTTTACTTTCATTAAAAAATAATCCATCCACCAAGCCAGGAAACATGAAATTATTACTCTACCCTTAATTGGTTTAGTGGTGGACTTGGTAGGGTTAGGTTAATGGTTGGACTGGATGATCTTAAAGGTCTTTTCCAACCTAAGCAATTTTATGATTCTATATTGAACAGAACTGGCCCCAGTACTGAGCCTGGAGAACACCACTTGTGACCAGCTACCAACTCCATTCACCACCACTCTTTGGGCTTGGCCATCCAGCCAGTTTTCTACCCAGTGAAGAGTATGCCCATCCAAGCCATGAGCAGCCAGTTTCTCCAGGAGAATGCTGTGGGAACAGTGTCAAAGGCTTTAGTAAAGTGTAGGTAAACAACATCCACAGTCTTTCTCTCAACCACTAAGCAGGTCACTTTGCCATAGAAGGAGATCAGGTTAGTCAAGCAGGACCTTCCTTTCATAAACCCATGCTGACTGGGCCTGATCACCTGGTTGTCCTGTACGTGCTGCATGATGGCACTCAATATGATCTGCGCCATAACATCCTCTGGCACCAAGGTCAGACTGACAGGCCTGTAGTTCCCAGGATCCTCCTTCCAGCCCTTCTTGTAGATGGGCGTCACATTTGCTAACCTCCAGTCAACTGGGACCTCACTGGTTAGCCAGGACTGCTGATAAATGATGGAAAGTGGCTTGGTGAGCACTTCTGCCAGCTCCCTCGGTACCCCTGGGGGGATCCTATCCAGCCCCATAGACTTCTGTGTGTCTAAGTGGTGTAGCAGGTTGCTAACCATTTCCCCTTAGATTATGGGGGCTTCACTCTGTTCCCCATCCCTGTCTTCCAGTTCAGCGGGCTGGGTACCCAGGGAACAACTGGTCTTACTATTAAAGACTGAGGCAAAGAAGGCATGAAGTAGCTCAGCCTTTTCCTCATCCTTTGTCACTCTGCTTTCCCCCACCATCCAATGGAAGATGGAGATTCTCCTTAGCCCTCTTTTTGTTGTAAAGGTATTTATAGAAACATTTTTTATTGTCTATTACTGCAGTAGCCAAATTAAGTTCTAGTTGGGCTTTGGCCCTTCTAATTTTCTCCCTGCATAACCTCACAACATCCTTGTAGTCCTCTTGAGTGGCCTGCACATTCTTCCAAATGTCATAGCTTTTTTGGTTTTCCCCCCCTGAGTTCCAGTCAAAGCTCTCTGTTCAGCCAGGCCGGTCGTCTTCCCCACTGGCTCATCTTTTGGCACATACAGATGGCCTGCTCCCATGCCTTTAAGGTTTTCTTCTTGAAGAATGTCCAGCCTTCCTGGACCCCTTTGCCCTTCAGGACTGTCTCCCAAGGGACTCTGTCAACCAGATTTCTGAGATGTGACTGTCTTAAAAACTTTTAGCATACTGGCAAGGCTAAACACAGCCTACAACATCTTAACATACAACGATTTTCAGCTCTGCCACTGCTTTCTTCCTTTTAACAGACTGCAAACATTTGCCATGATACAATATTGAATTTATAATCTACCCTTCACAATTTCAATAATTTTTTCCTTGTACAACGGCCAAGTTCTTGTTACAAACATTTTTGTCCGTTAATGCACATGTAAGCTGCAGTTATATGAACTCTGCAGGAAAGAGACATAATGTGAGGATAAAGTATTTTTCTGTTTTCCCTCTCTTTTTTTTGCACACAATACATACTCAAGAGGTCAACTGAATTTCACCTTAAGCATAACAGCTCCTGTTATGCAGAAATCCAAAAGGAGATAAAAAACCCAAACATTAATCGTAGAAACGTTCTAACACGGAACACTAACTAATCATCTATGGGGACATTGTAAAGGTTACTAAAACAAAGCACACATTAGCTTACTTTATTTCGGGAGTAACAATTTCAGCTGCTAAACTGTCCGAAGGCTCTTGTCTTCCCAGAGGCATCAATCCTGGGTTAGGAAAAGTAAAAAATTTAGCAAGCATACCAGTAACTTTCTTTAAAAAAACAGAAGTAAACATTGTTCTAGAATTTTACAGTTTTAGAGTAATGCTAGACAATGGAAAATGACACAAAGTCAGGCTACAGCAAGACAGACTGACAAGCACAATTTCATTTGGAGAACAGTAATTTCTGTCTTCATCCATTCCGAAGAAGTCATTTTGTGGTGTATTTTCTGATCATTAGCTTATGTAAGAACTACAAAGCTGTGCCACATTACACATAGAAATAAACTGCAACACATGAAACATTATATACACATGAGAAAACGTAGTATCTCTCTGAAGAAAAGTATGTAACTACACAGAAATCAGAAATACATTATAAAGACCACACTGGGGAGGAGACTAAAATTTCTGATTGACTGAAATAATGTTTAAAGTTTTCAAATGCTTACAAAGTTATGAATAGCTGAAGCAGCTTTTCACTGCTGATCTTAGAGGAGCTTAAATTTATTCTGTGCTAAACAAAAGTGCATTCAATACCCTCCAGAGAAGTCCTGTAAACTTTAGAAAAGATGCATTTCATCTCTTTATTTGTCCTTTACCTGTAGTGGTGAGTTGACCCTCCTGAGCTTGTACACATCTAAGCTCTTCAATAGTTTCTTTCAAAGAATCCCTTTCTGTTCTTAATCTCTGAATAATTGGAAAGAGAATGAATATCAGTCTTGGCACTACAAATCCATCTTTAACGGTACACAAGTCACCAAAAGGCACAGCCTTCAACACTTTAAAAAGAATCTAATGCAACTCTAGAGATGATTTTCAAATTAAGGCATCTCAGTCTATTTCATAATAGAATAAAAATAAATATTATATATTCCACATGAACAGTGTTTTTTTTGAGAAGGGTTGCTGCTCTGTATTACACTTATGGGGGTAAAAATGCCAGGGTATAAACTTACAAAATCAAGATATTAGTGACACAAAGTTCTGGTACCAGGTAGTGAACAGCACCCACTGGGGCCACTCAGCCGTCCTCCTCAGCCCCATCAGGGCTGTTTCTAAGGGACAGGGAAGTGAATTAAGAGACCGTAGACTCTACCCTCACCAAGAAGCCAAGGTTTAGCCAGGAGTGAAATAAAAAGCAGGTGAATACACAGTCAACATAACAAAACAAACTGCATTAACTTCATTTTGTTTGTCTTTCAACAGTCAAAGTGTGAGCAACATTTCCATATCCCCTTCCTCCTGTGTGTCAGCTGGCCTTGCCATTCACCAGCATCTCAGCTATGGAAGAAAACTAGTTGCTTGAGGCTCAATCCAAAGAGAACTGAAGAACAGGACTGGATTGCCTTGTGATTTAGATGGATGGGGTCTTCAGTAGCATCAGGCAAATACTCTCCCAATTTGGCACAAGTCCCCTTTTGGCAAAAAATTAGAATCTACAGGTAGCATCAAGTTTTTGTCCAGAACATTGCCAAGATTCAAAAATGAAAGGTGTAGGTATGGAGTTGTGTCGGCTGACACCTCCTTGCATTTCATCCTATTAACAGTTTGATTCGGATATATTTTATATTTCAGCCCAAATGGATCCAGGACTTGGAATCACCTTGGCAAAGAACATTTTGGTGAGGTGTGACAGAGGTTTCTGCTTTATTTTTGAATCCTGCAAGGTGAATGAACTCTGGTACAACTGTCAGAACAATCTGAATAAAGGGTACATTCTGTTACCACTGAAAGTCATTTCACAAACCCCACAGGTGAAAAAACTGTTTTTACCACAAATACTACAGAAGAAGAGCCACACAGAGGAGTGCTCAAACTCAGCTGCTGAAAACAAGGATTCTGCAGTCTGCTACCGTCAGTCAGAAAGCACCAAGTTGATTAATCAAATGCCAGAATATTTTAATGAATACAAAAAGCTCTAGGGCTTCATTTGTACACTGCAAAGTCAACTCATCAAATTATCTTCGTACTTATCATACAACACACCACAGAAGTTAAATTCCAAGCTACATAGCTGAAGATATCAAACACACTACCACACTTTGCCAGAACATAAAGACAAGGACAAAATAAATTTCAGCAACTGTTTGCAAAATATAACTAACAAGATACCACTACATAGCTTGTGACCTGTGGTGGGCAACCTTACTGATACATATGTTACAACAGGGAACAGAAAGAGTAGGCAACACAGGTAGTGCATCACTAATTCAAATATTGAGAGACTTCAGCTGTAATCTACTTCTCACAGGTGCACATCCATTCAAAAGAATGTATTGAAAAAACATCTGCCCCAAAAACCCACTATTTGCCAATGGGTAAAACAGAAAACTGTATGACAATGGCCTGCAATTCAGATCCTTTGTGCAAGATGAAATGGTCCACCAAGCAATGGGTAAGCCACAGACACAACCTTACCATTGTCAAACATAACAAAACTGGAAAAACAAACTTTAAATAACGAGCAGGAAGGAAAGCTAAAGCACAGTACAAATACAGTTACTATGGGCATTCCAATCTGAACTGAAGGGCAGATGGAAGCAGTATCAAGGAAAAGTGTCCACAATAGTTTGAAAATTTAATAAAATATGGAAATCAAAGACCCGTGAACAGAAAATAACTGACAACTTTCAGTTCAAATGCTATTCAAGTGCAGGGACTGGAAATTTTGGAAAGAATTGGACAGGAAATATGACTGTTAGGGGAAAAGCCTACAGAGATTCTGACTGATGGACAGATAGACTGATACTTAAAATAAGCCTAGGAAATTGCTAACTCCAAATGCTGGCCTTGGTCTGAGGTAGTTTGAGGCACCTGTGTATACGTTCCTAAGAAACAAGCTAAAGCAAACTGGTAAGAAACAGTGTGCAAGAGAAGTCTGAAGGATCAGTCTTGGCAAGAGAGAACAGAGCAATCAATCACAGAATCACTAGCAGCAAATGACAGAGAGGAAGGGAATAGACTGGTATCCATCCTGCGTGTTCCATGCTGGCATTACAAGATAGATCAACAAGGAGCTGTCATAAAAGGTGAGATTGCCACAAAAGGCATGTCCCTCTACACAACTCCTAAGCCTCCTGCTGCAGTAGTCATGACTCCACAAAGAGAAGCATGCTGATGGTACCTCAAAGACTGCTTTAGAAAAAATGCAACAGGAGTTTAGTTCTAGGATGATACTGCAGAAACCCTACTTTAAATATAATTTTTCAGGATACATTACAATTCCCCTGGGCGTTTATTACCCTTCTCACAGCAAATGGTCAAGAAACAACTTCAAATCCCAAATATGAAGGCTTTTCCTCTTAAAAATGGGTTGCATATGGTTTTGTACAGTCACTTTATTCCATGCTGTACAGTTCTTACGTTTAAAAAGGATCTTGTACACAAACAGTAGAAAATTAAGTGAAAAAAAGACTTCCTAATTTGAAAAGCTTGCTGTAAATGGCTAACTGTAATTACCATATCTCTCTGCTATAAAGGACACAAAGTTGCTACTCCTATTACCAAGAAAATAACACCTTGGCACTTACATCTTTTTCTTTTTGGAGGCTGTCTACTTTTTCTTTCAGTCGTTTGCATTCATAATCTAATTTATCAGCTTTCTTGGATTCTTCAGATAACCTGTTTTGTAGTTCAACTGCCTGTGAGAACAAGAATCAATAATTTGTCTGCAAATGTTAATATTAAAACAAAATACACAAGACAAAGTAGCCAATTACCATGCACCATGAGTCATGTTGTAAACAAGTGAAATAGTTACCTATAGGACATACTAAAAACTGCTTTCATCAGGTGTTCTCTGTTTCAGCAAAACCAACAGCATTCAAATATTAGGTCTCAGCACAAGCAAAAAGAAGCAAAAACTGTGAAGTATTTTCAGTACATCTAAAAACAAGAATTTAAGCCCAAGCATGGTTTACAGAAAAAAGCTATATAGTTCTATGGATCAAAGAGCTTAGGAAAAGTAGAAAAATCCTCCTGCATTCTGAGAAGCCTAGGAAAAAGAAAAAAATTCGAAGACAGCAAATTATCTACACCTTTTGTTAACTCTATTTCACAAGCCTCACTCAGAATTCAGCCACCAGTTTATGCAGTCAGGTAACATTTCTTAACCTGAGATTTTCCTAATAATTTTTAATAAACTAATATAAAAAGATTCAGCCACAGGCTCATGAACGTTTTTCCTTACTTCAGAAGGAAACATTGCTAACAAAGTCACATGTATACTTTCAATTACAGATCAGTAAAGAGCTTTTAAAATTAAATGAGCAGAAATCTGAAAGTTGAGCAGAAACAGTCAGTGAACGGGAGGCAAATCGGTGAAGTCTTGCCTTTTTAAAACTCTCAGCCTTTACTAGCAAAGGCTCATTCCCAGAATATTAGTAAAGCTCATCATGCAGAGAGCACAGAAGCAAGTAAGCTGAACAAAGACTGACCTGCAAACAGAAAAGCCGAATGAAGACTCAGCTAAAGATGTACAGCTTCTTCTGAAGCAATTAATAAGAAGGCTTTTTCATGGCTTTTAGATTACAGAGAAAGTGATTAACTTAAATTGTGAAGCAAAGCGGTAGCCATACCTACATTAAGACTGCCTAGTGGTTCTAATTACCTTTTATTTTCAATGTGTAGCAAAATAACTACCAGGCCTAAAAATCTGCATGGCCTTAAGTCTTAGACAAGGACTTTGCTGCTGCTGTTCTTAAATTAAAGGCTGCAAAAAAACCACAGGCCTGCCATTTCTGAGATTATCAGATTAAAAAAAAAAAAAATCAAAATGTTAGATATGAAAATATTTTGTTTCTCAGATGTGACATCCATCACTGGGGATATCAGAATAACTGCAGGTATAAAAAAAAATGCAGGCCTTCACCTGTGATTGTGCCACCACTTGCAAAATAGGTATATGTTCACCTTAAATGGAAACAAATGTATTAATGTTTGTAATCACTCATGCTATGGTATGGTATGTAGAAAAACACAACAGGAAATAAATTGTCTTGAATCAGGACTTGGGAGTGTATAGGAAGATATACAGCTACATGGTAATGCAGAAGATTAAAAAAACAAATGAACTGCCATCACATTTACTGAGCATTATCTGATGTGTGGAATGAGTAAAGCAGGAATCTTGCAGCAAAGAAAAGCAAGACACACTGTTAAAAATATATCAGAACGCATGCGCACAAAGGGGCTGAATTAAAATTACAAAAAATAATAATGGAATTTTCACATTTCAATTTTTCATGCTGCAATAAAAGGTTTCTTAGAAAATGCTTCTGCTTTCTTTCATAAAACAAAATGTCTTAAATAAGTAAATGCTATTACATCTCCCAGCACAATACACCACCACTAACCTCATCTGACAGAAACTGCTGGGTGGGGTGAAGATGTGATTTCCTTGCAGATCACTATAGGGGTCCGAACCAAGCACTTTCACCTGCACAGCACAAAGCTTCTAAGCCAAAGAAATAACCCCTCTGATGGCATCATCATGAGTGGGGTTGGATCCTGCACACACCAGACAAGACGCATTCCACTACAGGGGCACACTAGTGCTCAGCAGTGACACTAACATCAGAATCTTACACCTGGCTTAATTCTTATAGCACAATTTAGGATTCCCAGAAATTAATTTTGTGACAGCCTCATGATTCACAGGCAGGTCTCAAAAGAAGCTCAGCCTTACAGACACTGAAGGCAAACACACTGTGCGTTCATTTTGAGGCACTGTGGTTAGGTGAAGAAAACTCACATCTGTCACAAGACACCTGAGGTTTATTCAAATCTCAGCCAGCAGAACAGTTTTATACAAATCAACAGCTCCTCAGACATGAAATCCTACCCATAAAACACAGGGAATGATGGAGTACTTTTGCAGCACAAATGATGGGACTGCCCTTCCAAAATCCTTACTGTTGGCGAAATAAGAACGAGCAGATGCAGATGTCAAGGTTACACACCTGTATCACATGCTCAGCTGTTCAATGGCGTGAAATATTTGTTGCAAGTAAACGTGACTACTTGTGTGAAAGGCCACTGCTTTCTACATTTACTTTTCCCTTTGACTGTCTGTTATTTCAGCTTTTTTCTTGCCCAAGTTTTTTTTTTCTGGTGGAATCATCTGGACTGTATTTACAATTAGCCCACAGGGGCTGAAGCTAGTTGTCTTAATAACTAAGATGGCCAGGTGCAGGGAAAAAGCTGTCAAGTCTTGGAAACACATACTGCTCCTGGGTTTGCAATGTTGTTAGTGGTTGTTTCTGTATTTTTATTCTGCTGCAAGCTGACATACAGGGACCCCTGTGCCATAAACATTCGAGCTTATAAGCCGGCAGAAATACAGAGCAGGCACTACTACTTTAAAGAACCACACTCTGTCTGGCCCTGTAACAAGAATGCCAGAATGACGTCACGTCAATGTAGTGCAGAAGCAGAGAGAAGATTGCACATCTTCCACCTTCACAGAAACAGGATCACGTGGCACTTTGGTAAGCAGAAGGATAAACAGATGCCTTTCACTCCAGTGAGTGTGCTGGTGACACATTTTGTATTCTGCTGGGTGCATATAAACAATAGGGATGATATGCACCCTTCTCTCTTCATAACTGGACAAATTCAGATGTATCAGACAAACTAGAACCTTAAAAAAAAAAGGTTACTTAACCACAGGAGTAACTTACCTCAGCTGTGATGCATTCCTCACTGCTGGAAATTTTTAAGTGAAAAGTGGATATTTTTTCTGAAAGAAGAGGCTCTAATTCAAGCCCCACTGCTGAATATGAATTAGGAATAATTTGAGAAAAAAAACCCTTAAAGTCTGTTATTTTTTAAAAGTAAGAAATACTGCTTATTGGCAAATTAATGTAAACTTGAAATAATAAGAATTGCAGGAAAGGAGGACAAAGGTAGTACCTACAAAACGTGGAAGTCTTCTAACACAAGGAGCTGTTTGTTCACAATTTCTTTTTTACTTTGAGGTATTAGCCATGTTATGAAGAGGAAGTGTTGAACAATGAGAGAACTGCTGCATTGACAATGTCTGTGCTCACCTGTCTCTTGTATGTTTCCAGCTGACTGCGTGCTGCGTTGGCCTTCCTTAGTTCTTCCTCCAGGCTCACGGTATTTTGCATGTACACTGTATTCTTCTCTTCTAAGAGTTTCACTTGCCGTCGCAAATCACCCAGGTCTTCCAATTTCTTTTTGTATGACTCTACCTGGCTTTCTAACTTGGCTACTTTATCAGAAGAATGCCTGGAGGGACAGATTTGTATCAAATTTGTACTCTGAAAACTAATAAAATGAAATGTCCTGAAGTTTCCTCAGTATTTTGCCTTAATGCAGAAGACATTCTGAGACATCATGAGGAAAACAAATCATATCCTCCTATTACTAGTATTTTCACTTTTAAATTGTCTGCTTCCCTCCCATAACTATTTGTCAACTCAAAGAGCTGGTGATGGAAGTACTTTTAGACACTATCACTCTTCCTAACACAGCCTTCTTATCTGCTTCCAATCTTAAAATAATAGTTAAAGCACCTTTGCTCCCACTCATTTCCTTTCAATTTGAAATTGATTCTCAGTCCTGCATTTTACAAGGGTAAAGAATAAGATTTTCTGCCCTTCAATTTGTTTTAATGATAGCCAGGAATAAAATCATAAAGATCTATCTCCTGGGCAGCATATACTCGGTGACACAGAAGTACCATAACAGCTTTGGAGCCTGATTCCTTCTATAAAAATGAAACACCAGGATCCATTCATAACATTCCAGAGTTTTTTCAATCCACCTGGTGCACTGCCAGGACAGCAATGGCCCTCACTGCCAACCACCTACACCCCCACTACTATCACTGTCCCCAGTTTCATTTTAGCACCAACCAATCTACAGACTCAATTTCCTATGAAATCTGGAGAATCCCCCATTGAATTGATGGTCAATTTATGGGATGCTGGGGCAAGCCAAATCTCCTTAATCCCCAGTGAAGTACAGAGCCTCACTCTGGGGCAGGGGATTACCCTTTGAACCCATGCCGGCCACACAAGATAGTTTATGGAATTGTGCAGCCCGATGGGTTCATTCCTTATATTAGTGACAGAGGACATAAAGACAGATAGCTTTGGTAGAAAGCTGCTGGTCAATTAGAAAAGGCATTATTAAAATAAGCCTTGATAGACTTGCTAGAAAGAGTGATACAGGTAGGTAGGGGAAAACTGTTCTGAATAACCCATGGCAGCAACATGCCACTACTGAAGCATTATGCTCCACAGCAAAAGGGGCTGCCTCACCCTATAAACCCCTAGCATCATCAAATCGTGACAACTTTCGGTGCTAAAACCCAGTGGAAAAGAGAGCTCAAACAGATGTTGTTCGTATTAGTATTATATGATGAACCAAAAGCGCCACCCGAAGTCCAAATAATGCAAACCCAGGAAAGGAAAGGGTCTAGTTCCCTGATGAGAACAGATACCCAATTCATGATGAAGGTGAGTACAGAATACTCAAGCGATCGGTGAGTGACTTGTTATAACCATAAGATGGTGTAGGATTGCTAAGTTTCCTAGTAGATGATTAGATACGTAACAAATAACTAATTTACTTAAGCAGAATCGTGTGGTGGTCTGTGTACTTAACTGGAGGATCCAAAAGAACCTTGATATTGAGAAAGTGTTTGTATTTAATACTCAAATTATTGAAACAAAAGCTAATGAAGGCTAAGTACATGAATTATATGGATTAAAAGTTAATAGTGAAAAAAAGGGTTAATGGAACAGAGTTTACCTGAGTACATCTATCTCATCCTTCAAAGACTGAGCCTCCTCTGCCAATGTAGTAAGCTCTTCCGTTTGTTGCCTCAATTCAGCGATTTCCTTTTCTAGTTCTTCACAGCGTATTCGATAGTCATCTTTGGCAGCTTCTAATCTGTAGAAATGAAGTAAAACAGAAAATAATTTTTCAGCTTGAGCCATAGCTACCTTTCCTCATCACCATCCTCTCTAAAAACAGATGAAACGGCCTTCTGGTGCAGTGAAGGAGAACAGCAGCCCATCATGCTTTTTCAAAAACGTAGCAGCAGATTGACTTTTTTGATTCTCCCAATTTGGTATCAGTCTTTCTATTTGGAAGACCACAAGGTAACGTATATTCTCAGAAAGACAAATCCTGATTCTTTTCTGTCATAGCAATTTTTCACAATGGAAGCTCAAGCAGAAATTTCCACTTTTTTTCATCCTGGGGCATACAGACTTTGAACATGACATCTTTATCCTAAGATTTTGTTCAGCTGTTCACCTCCTATACACCTTCAACAATATTAATGTTCTATGTCAGATGTTCTAAGTGCTGTAGAGCTCTCACCAAGGTGGCTTTATTTATTTATGAAGAACCTGTGCCTGCCCAGTACCTCTGAAGAACCAAGTCATACAATTAGTTATCTAGTTAGCATGTAAAGAACTCAGACCAAAGTTTCTGGTGCGAACCACTTACATAGAGCACACACAGGCAAAACTGCATTAACCTGGCAGTGAACAAAGTGAATAACTAAGAGAAACTTTATCAAAGCATTTTGAACGAATGGAAGAGGACACAACCTGGAACATGGAGTCCTATTGTGATTTTGATCTGAAATTAAAATAAAAACAATCCAGAAAAGGAGGTATGGGCATGGGAAAAAAAAAAAAGGTATTCTATCCATTAATTCAAGGAGTCCAAAAAGAATCTACAAGAATGGAGACAAGACGTAGTCAGTACGTCATCTAAACCATATACAACAAAGATTTGGATTGTGACAGACCAGAATTGTCAAAGGACATAAAGGGGCAAGACTGGGAGAAAAACTGTTGTACCACACTGGGCATCAGTTATGCTGTACATATGTCCTGTTTGGTCACGTAGAGCTGGAGAAGGAGCACACAAATTGCCATTACAAACCACATGCTATGAAGGCAGGGGAAGGAGGTAAAGGAGGCTAGGAGATGAGTCTCTTGTGTGAAAAGGGTTTAGAAAGACCTTCAGAACCTGAAACTAGAGTAACAGGCAGTGCAGATATTGCATATGGAGAGAAAACCTGTTCAAGGACCAACTGATAATAGACTCAGGTAGGAATCATTCCAGAGCACGAAGATGGATATGGAGAGATAAAAAAGGATATTAGAGAGACATCACTACATTATTCCTTTACATGGGAGATATATAGAAAGAAGAAAATCAGGCACTAGCTGCTGGGAAAGAGAAACACGAAACATTTTTCAAGAAACTAAAGGGAGGGGGTGTGTCTGAATATGTAGAAAAGAGGCTTAACAAGAGGAAGTGGAAAAATGGCAGAAAAGACAAAAAAGGAAAGTTACACAGCAGCTGACATAAGAATTAGAAAAGGGCAACCAGAAGAGGACAGAAAGAGAAGAAAAACTGGCAGTGTAAAGAAATACCATAATTTCACTCACAAAGGATAAGGAAAGTACAGCAATAAGAATGAAAAGATGATGGTGAAGTGGACAAGCTTTCTTCAGCAGAATAGGCTTACACAGCCTGAAAGCAACAGTCAAAAGGGCCAGAAAGGAAATTTGAAAAGAAACTGTATTTCCACATGTTGAGGAAACACAAATGAAGAGCAGAGATCACTTGTGGATAATCTCCATCTTTCAGATATGAAACAATTTGTTTTCAAACTCAGAGAAGTACACACTTTGCTGTATAATAATGCCACCTGTAGTACTGCCCATAGCAAACTTTCAGCTAGGAATTCCTACACCTCAAAAATACAATCAGAATATTTTACATAGAGGAAAGCATGCTACTTTTCATTCTATGATTTTGAAAAACATGGGTGAAATGATTGCACACAAACAATTCAAAGTAACAGAATTCAGAGTAGAGAGTCACATGTATACAGCATATCAGCATTAAGAAATTATGTGGTTTTGTATGCTGGAGCTTGTAAATCATAACACGTACATCACTGTAAAAACTTTACTACTGTGGTTATACCACCCATGATACTAATTCATAATTGCCAGCAGAACCAGAAGTACATAAGTCATGTCTGTTGCCAGCTACAAACAAACAATCTAACCAAGTGTAACTTTTCTACCTGAATGTTTCCTCTTGGAGTTGTTCTAGTTGTGTCTGCAGCTGCAAGTGCCTACGACCTGCAGGGCTGTTGGGATCTTCAATAGAATCAGACTGATTTAAACGTTCCATCAAAATCTGGTTCTCAGCAAGCAAGCTGCTCTTCTCCTCCTGGAGGGCTGCAACCTGTTGTAGTAAAGGTATAAACTGGAATAACTGAGCTACCCAGCTACAGAGAGGATTTTTTTTTTCTTGTGCATAATAAAGCATCAACACAACCCACAAATGGAAATACACAGGCTTCAATAATCACATTTCACAAGAATATACTGTAACATTAATAGGTATTCAACTGCTATGTGATGTAACCAACATATTGCAACATTAGGGCCAGACTAACCACACAGAAAACGTAACTATTCTTAACTGTATTTTGCACAAGCATCTAAAGAAAAAGTCTTAGTTATCACAAAAGACAACTTCATTGTAATAAAGTCTGCATACTTTCCCAACAAACAAATAAAACTAGCCCTCCACATTAAAGCTTTTAAAACTGATTTCCAAAAGAAACAATGCCTATCAATGCACAGAATATCCAGCTGTGGATATCCAAGGGATGGCTATGCCCTTCCTAGATTTTATTTTTTAATCTGGTGGCCAATTGCAAGCAGACCTGAAACAGGAACACAGTCCCAAAGATGACTCAGTTTCCACCAATGTTGTGCAAAACAGGCAGTAGTGCTGCAAAGAACCCGAAGTGCTGCAACTCAAACAACAGCTGAAGCATGGGTTCATATATTATTAAAGAGTATAGAAATAACTATTCTATTAACTAACTATATAGAACTCCTAATGCAGGAGGAGGAGGGGAAGAGAGGGAATGTGAACATCTCAACAGAAGGAAATGCTTCAATAAGAGCTTGAATCACCAAATACACCAAAATCAACCATGACACACAAATCAGCTTCAGTAATTCTAACGGTTACTGAACTGCTTGGCAAAAGTCTGAGTTATACTCTGAAGTAGGATTGCAATGGCGATGCCTTTTGGTGCTCCCACTTTACATTCCTCATGTCTTCTGGATGAGGTATGCTTGATTTACAGTAAGACTTAGTCTAAATCCATACATAGCTGATAAGACTACAGTAATTTCTGACTGGGATTTAACTCTTAACTGAAACTGTTAAAAGCAGCATAACCTCTATTAGTTCTCTAATGCAAGAGTTGAACCAAACAGCTCAACCCCTTCCCATCCAGAAGAAAAAAGTTTTGTTAGTACAAATCATCTTAATACTGGCAAGATTGCATCAAAATAAGAAACAATGAAATTCACTCTGCTAGCACACGTACAGCAGAATAATTACTGTGCAATTTTCATCTCCCTTTCAAAAAATACATTTCCACACTATACCACTTGTTTTCAGCTGCCTAAAAATTAACACACCTCTTTCCCACTTCAAAATTAATATATACAATATAGCAAACCTACCTGCATATCTAACTCATGACATCTCTGGGCAATTTCTTCTTTTGTTGCTAGTGCTTCATTTAATTCTTCTGTAGTTTTCTTCAGCTACCATAAACAACAAACATTTATAGTTTCATCACTCTGAAGTGTCTAAAAATACTCTGAACTACATGAGCATAAAATTATTTTTACATTTAGATAATATATTTTTTTTGAAAACTGAGGCAATTCCGCTCTTACAAAGAAACAAAGAAGCAGATATGATTACTGTTTAGTTTGTGTGACAGTGAGAAGCAAACATACCTAATAGTATTTAGTCTTACAAAAACACATTAGCATTATCACATCTATTCTGTGAATTGTGTCAAAAAGTCCTGAAGAACTTGGGTGTGAAGAACTCATCAACTCTGTACACTGAAAAAACTGTCAACACCACTTTTCTTTACAAATGCAGAGTGTGCATAATTTCAGTTTCCAAGCTACTTTTCAAATACAGAAAGGACTGGAAGGTGGAATACAGGGAATGGACAATTAGGGTAAAATCTCTCTAGTCACTAGAAGCTACTCTTATTGCACAATAGGAATACAACTAACATGGTGAGGGAGAAGCCTACCCTTCTGAAAAAGGGCAATTACTCTTGTAAGCAGCGGGAAACATTCAGATACTTCCCTTCAAAGGCTTTATATTCAAATATACATATCTCGCAAATTTGCATATGAATGCAGTTAAGATAACATAAAAACATAGCTACAAGAAAATTCACCTGATAAAACAGGTGCGTGCATATTATGTATATAGAGATTACAGACATAGAACCATAAAATGCTTTGGGTTGGAAGGAACCTTTAGAGGTCATCTAGCCCAACCCCCCTGCAGTGAGCAGGGACAGCTTTAACTAGAGCAGGTTGCTTAGAGCCCCATCCAACTTGACCTTGAATCTTTCCAGGGATGGGGCCTCCACTACCTCTCTGGGCAACCTGTTCCAGTGCTTGACCACCCTCACTGTAAAAAAATTTCTTTCTTATGTCTAGTCTAAATCTATTCTTCTTTAGTTTAAATCCATTATTCCTTGTCCTGTCACAACAGGCCTTGTTAAAAAGATTCTCCCCATCTTTCCTGTAGGCCCCTTTTAAGTACTGGAAGGTTGCAATAAGGTCTCCTCGCAGCCTTCTCTTCTCCAGGCTGAACAATCCCAACTCTCTCAGCCTGGCCTCATAGGAGAGGTGCTCCAGCCCTCGGATCATTTTGGTGGCCCTCCTCTGGACCCACTCCAACAGGTCCATGTCCATGTATTATTATATATGATGAATTTTAGATGGGCCTTCTGAAAAAGCATCATCATATCTTATTTTTTCAAGTTTATTTCTCAAGGACCTGTTGACATAAAAAAATTAATTCCATCTGCCAGAATTTACATACTTCTGCAGCGAAAGCATGATGAAGGAACACAGGGAACACCACTGTACTATACATCTCAATTAGAAAAAAACTGAGGAAGTAGCACAGTGCTAGCATGAGGTTGAGCTAGTAAAAGACAACTGGTTTTGCATATTCTTTAATATATCAGACAGGGAAAGATTCTCTTTGAAAACTTCTCTTACATAACTCTTACAGTTTCCAAGACTGCTTTAAGGATTTTTGAGCTGCATCTATGGGTTTCTTTTGAACTGACTTTGGAAGTACGAACTGGCAAAAAAAGTTTTATTCAAATACTATACATTTTTTTATCCTTCTTTCTCAGTATCAAGATTTGCACCAGTCTGCAGTTTTGCTATACTATGTCATACAGCTAAACTTGTTTTTCAAAGTGAGTTATTCTCTCCTTTAAAAACACAAAATAGGTAAGCTCAATTTATAAAGCAGAAAGACTTGAAATACTGAAATTTAGTTTTCCACTCCTTATTTGAATTTCCCATAAAACCCTTTCATAATTAAAGAAAAAAAAAAGACAGACTTCTTAATAAAGCAAAATGCCTGGCCACTGATATGCTATAATTGCAGAAAAAGAAACATCTAGTCTTAGATACCTGCCGATCAAGGTCAACGTAAGCATCATTTCCAACAGAGACCGGAGACTCTTTACTCATCAACTGCAATTAGATTACACTGGATTAGAAAAAGCAAGTGTTTACTTTTATATTAAAAGCTAAAACTTCAATGAAATACCAAGCTGACTTTAACTTTTGAGAGCTTCAACCTGACTTCATTTGGAAATTAACTTCATTTTTATATGTGACATATTCAGAAACAATTACAGAAAGAAATCTTCAGAATTCACAATATTTAAAGTACTATAAAAGAAATCTTACATAAACTCTTTTCCTTCTGAAAATGCACATTCTTTATCTATGATGAAACCTACAGTACACTCTGCTAAGCATTTTATTGAAGTAGCACTGGAATGATGGTAGCTATCAACACATCATGCAAGACCTGCCTTTAATTGTTCTCTGTTAGTGGTTTTCATTTTTTGATCACCTAGAAGTTCACATCAATTTATTTATTTATTTAACTAAAGTTGGGGACATATCTATCTCAGCTAATTGTACAAAACAAAGATGATGAAAATTCCTGCTCTGGAGCTGTCTGTACTTTGCAAATTTAAAAAGAAAGTCTATAGAGAATATTCCTAAAATGAGTATTACAATTCCTTGTATACTAACCTATTTTATTGCAAGAATAGCTGGTAGTGGTTTTGGTCTAGAAAACATTACTTTTAGCCATGACTTTAAAAAAAATGATAATAAAAGCGCAAGCCCTCCAAATTGACTGATGTGCTTACTAAAAGATAAAAAGCTGGTAAGAAAGTAAGTTTTCTTTCAGTAACTTACTGACCAGTTACACAGGTAGTTAAAAGCTAAATCAAATGTAACAGAAGTTGTAGCCCGAAGACCTCCTCCCACCCACCTCCAGCAAACTTATTAAGGTAAAATTATTACTGAGTTCTAAGACATGAAAAGGAACAGTCTTCCAAATAAGAAACATGTTGTAACTAACTCAAAAGGCAGCATTACAGAACCACACTGATGGATTCTGTCATCCTGTCCAAACACAAAATGTTTTCTGAGGTCTCCAATGACACAATTCATGGAAGTTACAATAAAGAAGGCCCTATCCTAACCAAAATCAGGACAAGATTTCTTTCCTAAGGCCTCCTGTCCAGCCTGGTTACTCTTTCCAGAGACAAGGCTTCATTTATTCCTTCCAGAAATCAGTCCTTTTGCATTACTTTACATTGGCAAAGTTCCTTGGATACACAGCACAGATATTTCACTACTTCTCCATCCTTTCTGCTTATACCACTATGACAAGAGAAAATCACTGTTTGACATTTACATCATTCAAATATTTATACACTTATGTTTCTCTCCCTTTCCCCATCTCCTTAATTGGGATTTAGCTGCGTATCACCATGCTTAAATTCATCCCTCTGTCCTCAACAGTCCTCCTCAGACCTTGATGATGATTGTTGCTAACTGCTGAATTCCTCCCATTTTGTCTACATCTTTGCAAGGACAAACTGCCCCAAAATGAACCATTTCATGAAGCCCAGATTCCCTGTAAAATTAGAAAGTCCCTAGCCTCAGACTTGTCCCCTGAAAAATGAAGTCATGTGTCTTTTTCACTACCATATATAGCGGCATTACAAACTTGTATTTAATTTATGGCCAAGCTGATTATCATTTTGCCTCACAAACCAAGAATTTTCAATCCCTCTCTGCTCTGTGATGTTTATACATGTTTCAATTACTTCATTTCACTAGCTACTGTTCAATTGCGTTTCCAGATAACTAACAGGGATATCCGTATTAACCAAATACCGAACTCTTCTCCCTATTCTATATCCCACAACACTGTTCACAAACACACTTCAGACACTAAGTTCCACCCATTAAGCCAGTACTTTGACTGGCAGGTCCCTAGCTGCAAGCAGCCTGCAAGGGTGTACATGTCCCTGACAGCCACCGCCCCTTTCTGGCCCTGGCACAACTTCCTCTTCAGAAACCCAGCTTAATAGGCCTGCCCAAGACTTACTGTAGAAGGAATACAAGAGGCTGCACAACCCACTAGAGGCCACTGTGGTGTTGCTGCTTTCTGTGGATTACCGCAAAGGAAGCAGATGAAGGCCAATAATATAATCCCTTTACTCTTCAGTGGGTTTTGCTGTCTCTCCCAAAACTTCCTACCCTTGAGAACCCTTAGCAGAAATATTCAGAAAAGAGGACATTAGCTAGAAAAGGATTAGGCAGTAGAGATACATGGTGTGGGTGTAGCGTGAATGTTACACAGAATTTGTGAATTTAACTCCACAGGGTGCATCAGGAATGTCATGGGAAGTATGCATGAGGCACCAAGGGCCAAAGCCACAGACACATGTGCGGACGACTGACTCAATGCAACAAGAAGGATCTTGCAGTCTTATGGCCTGTGGTATGGTGGGGATGCTAAAGAAGAAATCTAAGGGATTGTGCTGCATCCAGTAGCACGACCAGACAAGGAACAAGAACGAGATTGCAAGATTACTCACAAGTAATACAGGAATCCACCTTCTGGTCATCAGTTAACAATAAACTGAAGTTAAAAAGTGGGGTGAAAAGGGAGAGTTACCAGGGCAAAGGAGTGCCTCTATCTTTTCACTACACATCTCCCCAAACATTGGAGAGGACAACGGTATGTGTAAGCAAATGTCTTGACTGCGCTCTGCTTCTGGATTGCCTCTACCCAGTTTCTCCCCGCTTAATAGCACACACTTTACTGTAAACAGCACAGCTAATAGAGTACAACTCCACCCACCTACCCAAAGTTCTCTCCCTTTAGTAAGATGTCCTGAAAAAAATAATGAAAAGTTTTACTGAATGATGTGTTCTAGGATTCCATACAGACATGGACGTCAACTCGAAACACTCACTACACCTTCCATCCACCTAAAAAATACAAGGGAACAGGCTTGCCTAGTTTCCCCTATTCTTCACTTTGCTTCTTTTCAATCAGCATTCTCTGATACTACTGAAGTTTAGAGCTCCAAAATGCTCATTTCATCAGTTACCTGCTTGATGGCATATTAGCTCTTTCTGCATTATTACTACTAATCTGATGATACTAGTAGGTTGTTACTAATTTTTAAAGCAAATTTCCTTACTGTGTTCTGATATATTTATGTGTGTATATATATGTTCCTATACTGTGTTCTCCCTTTACTTACGATCCCACATGCAAATTCCTGAAATACTGCTGTAGTTTCAGTGCTGCACCTGCAACCTGCAAGCGTGAGAGTAGAACACGCAGTCTTGAGACGTATGGGGCAATGCCAACACTTTTGAGTTTAGAGTGGCAAACTTTATTCCATTTGTATTTCAATTGGCTGACTCAAGAGAATAAAAAGCAGAAGGAAGTGGCCTTCTCAGTCTTCCTCCACAGCTGCAAAGCTTCTTTTCTTCAGGAGCAAACTACAGATGGACATAAAGGTCTACCTTCACAATTTTGCAGCACTGGAACTGGCTTTCAGCTCCAAACTCACAATTTAGCTTAAGTATAGTATTATCATCTCTTTTCACATGTACCTTTAATGGATGATGATGTGCAAAGATTTTACAAGTGAATTGATTATAAAAAGGGAAATCAAAAAAGTGCCTGCAAAATCAAGCAATTGCATTAGGCCTCTACAGTAGAAGGAAAAGTCCGCATAAGAGCTTCCCACAGTGAAAAAGCAAGCAACTAGCATTTACTTCCTTGCTCTTTTTCTGGTTTATTTCGAATATTTAGAATGAAGACTTGAAGTAGCACCAGTATTTGTTCAAATAATCAAAATGTCATTTAAAATCAAAAGAGCTTATTCTGTGGTGAAGAGGTCAGTTTGGATTTTAAATGGGACAATAACCTGCATAACATGACAATTTCTGTAATTCTTTGTTCAGTTTTATGAGAAGCAGTTGTCGTTCCCTGTTAATCCTTTACATCTATACATTTTCATGCTCTTAGCTCTGGTATGATGTCTTACAAAATACTTGTAGATCTGCTAATTTTATATTATTAAAGCCTTCACTTTTTATAGGCTTTGCTTTTGAAATGTGAACAAGTTGTGTTGTCATGGATACATAAAGATTAGGGAAGGGGTAAAACTATCACAAAATCTGCATGCATGAATAACCTGAATTATGAATGCTTTTTTTTCCCCTACACATGATTTGCATGATTTTGCAAATGCAGCTGCACCACTTAGTTGATGATGTTAAAAGTTCAAAACATTTGCTTCATCTGAAATGCTGCCTCTACAGTTGCTAATACTGTACAAGCTCATTTAAGTGCCCATGAAATGATGTCAAAATCCAGCCTCTGTATCCAGAAGGTTGTTTTTCTTTTTAAAAACATCTTTTTTGTTTGTTTGTTTTTTAAGAGTCAAGGCTATGTATGACACAGTGTGTATCCTTTAATGCAGCTGGACTTTCTTCTTCCTCCACTACTGCTGACAGACCCAAAGGAAATACATTTCTACCCTTTCCTAGCTATTCAAAAGCCACTTTTACTTCAGACAAGATGAACCTTTAAATAGTCAGGACAAAATACGGGGAGCGGGAAACACAAAACCAACCAGTTTCTACTTTGCAGAATTAACACAGTTGGTATGAATCTAAATAGGAAGTACCTTTTGCTACGCACCCCAGGCACGTTTTAACACTACCTCTAGTACTTTGCTGTTAAGAGCCTATTCTGACTCTCAACTTGACCTGCACAGACACCTGCTAAGTGACTGATCAAGTTTAGAGATGTTCCAAAGACAAACAATTTCCCCAGCTACTACTTTCAGCAATAACGAACTTGGCTGCTCAAAGAGAAGACTTGGAAAAATGACAGCAGAATTTCCAAAGGATGTCAAGGAAAGGAAAGGAAAGAGAAATACATAATGGCCAAAATAATTTCTGTAAGGAAAGCTTTTGGCCTATTAAAAAAAGATCTGCAAATTATGAAATTAAAAATACATTATATATGTAATATATTAATTGCAAGTAATAATAAATTATAATAATATAAACAGAATGTAGT